AGTGTGTGTGTGTGTGTGTGTGTGTGTGTGTGTGTGTACTGGCTTGGGGGGGTACGGGTGGGGTGGGGGAGATCCGACAGTTTAAGGAGGTTTGAATTGAATATGCACCCAGAGGCAGTGGTCTCGTAGGAAATGGTGTTCTCGTAAGTCAGGCTGCCCCAGTGAAGCAGCCACAAGCTTTGCTTAGTGCTCAGAGCTTTCACTTGCGTTGCTGGCGCTGCCGGGAGCCTCCAAGGAGTGAACTGTCCACCGGCTCCGGGTGCTGAATGCGTTCAACCATTTTGGTAGGTGCTGTATGGGAGGGAGGGGGCGCAGAACAAGGCAATCACTGCTCTGGAGTGTTAAACCGGGGGGCTGCATGATCAAGTTTAGGAGAGATCTTTATTCGTGGAGAGGGGTGCTAAGGCATAGGAAAGAGAGGGGGGCAATCTCATAAGGGAAACTATAACATTATTCCCATTGTACAGGTCTTCTCTTGTGCAAGAATTATATTCGAAAAAAGTTTGGACGTCTGTCTATTTATTGATGCATTTGTGGAGGCGAGGGTCTTTATTCGAGGGTCTTTATTGTGGAGTTGTGTCTTTATTCGAATTTCAAAGAGTATTGGTCCAGCTTTAACTCTATGAAATGTTTTCTTCATGAACCGGTGCATTTGACTTTCTCAAACGGCTTTTGTTCAAGTTGAAGGAAACCCGCTACATCAGTTATTTTAGCTCGAATGCCAGAACAATCTGTCAGGTAGCTTTAAATGTTACAGTAGGGAAAATGATCATTTGTTTATTATTTATTTTCTATCTGCCATTTAAAATGCAACCTCAGAGCCTCCTGTGTTCAAGGTATATTAGAAAGTCCACCGAAATGAGATTAAAATATAAACGAGTGAATGGAAATTGTGTTTTCATGTAGCTACCAAAGTCATGTTCATTTTTATTATTTATTTATTTATTCATTCATTCAGGAAACGGTCTGTGTAACAATACACAAAAAATGCTAGCCTCTTGCATGTGTTTGTAGGAAGCATCTGTCAGGAAAGCCAAGAAGTAATGTTAAAGAAGGAATCTGGAATAATTGGAAACATTTTATATTAATTTCATTTGCAATCGGATCAACAAGCTGGTCAGTTACAGAACACACGGGATAGTAAGAGCCATGCATGCTGCATAATTACTCATGACTGAAGAAGTGTATAGTACCCACACAATTTGCAGAATTTAACTGTATTGCCATGTTTCAGAGCCCCCACCTTTTCTAGAAGGACGCTGTTCTTAATATTAACAGCTTGGGTGAAACAAAATCGGGAACATCCTAATTGAAATGCAAAGTATATTGTGCAATGACGTTTCAGATATCCTTTCTATTTAGTAGGTGAACAATAAACCTTTATTATCACAGTATCCGCAGCAGGATCATGAAACAAAGCCCCCACCCCCACCTCCTGGTAAGAGTCATGTTGATAAGAGAACATTAACAGAACGACTGTCTCTGACCGTCAAAATCTCAGGCACAATTTGGGAATAACTTTTTTGCGATTCTCCTTTGAAAATGTTTGCAGGAATGTAGAGGTGATAAGGTCTCACTATGGAGGTGTTCTCGCCAGTTGCACAGTAGTGCAAGTAAAGTGTATATTAGAACGGCGACTGTGTTACCACACATTAGGATACTACAAAATGATGCCTAACCCATTCAAACGGAACCAGCTTGTCGATTCAATGGGTGCCAGATATTCTCCTCTTTCCAGGCACATGGGTGAAAGGAAGTTTAATGATTTCATACTGCGAAGTATTTTTCGCCTTAGATGTTAGCTCATCAGACAGGCCTGAAAGGAAGTGCCTAATCGTAGCGAGCTCTAATGCTTTTATTTAGTTAGCTAGTTTGTTTGTTTGTTTATTTATTTATTGGATGATGCAGTGGGGGAGTGTAAGTCAGGACTTGTAAGATGAATTTCCAAATGCACAGATGAAATTCTCTCAGGCAGCTGCTTCTTTATCTGAGTTCCCCCCAAAGCCACCTAAGCAAACAGATTTGTAATATTTGTTTGCTGAACTGTGCATCTCCTTCACAGGGATCTGTTGCTGTGAATGACATCTATTCCAAGCACCCAGAGAGAACTGATGGAGCACACAGATGGGAATAGGATGCCAGGCAAGCACAGAGGAAGAAATCAGGAAATCACCAGGTAAATTCAACCTTACTTTTATTTATTTAATTCCTTCTCACCTTGTCTACCAGAGTCTGTCTGCCCCAATAAGGCAGCAGTACCGCAGAGGGAATGCAGGCGTGTGTATTAAATGCTCGCTTCTCCCTTTTGCCTTTACAGAACTGGAAGTACAGCAGCCATTGGATAATGGGACGGGATCACTCGGCAACTCTGTGGATTCTCCTTCTCCTTCCTCTGTAGGGGAAATATAGTTATGGATTTATTGCCCCGGTGCAGCAGTTCCAGCAGCAGCAGCAGCAGCAGCCTCAGCAGATTTCTGACTCTCTTCGGTGACGGGTATTCTTGGGTGGATAATACGGATTACGTTGTTATTGCTTAAGAATACGCGTAGTCGAGGAGAGTACCCGCGGCAGGCAGGCAGGCAGCGGCCGCCCCCAGCCCAGCAGCTGGCTCCTAATCTACTATAGTTGCCAAGGTAGCCCCTTTTTGATCTTTTCCTGCACTTTGCTATGTCTCTCTCTATGTCTGTGATTAGGTGATCCCAGGGGTTGCTATGTACACGGCAGGGGTAGGAGACTCTGGTGATGAGTCTAGTCTTCTGCATCCTAGGCTAGTTCCCCACGGCTTCTCTTTCCCCAAAGCGTGTGCGCGGGAGGGGCTGCCGAGCCAAAACCGTGTCCGGCTGGGACAGTGCCGAGCCGGTGGGGGGGGGGGGGATGTGACTATGACCTTTGTCCTCATGTGTCCCCCACCCCCTCCCCATCAATGCTGTGAAATACTGAGAGACCTTTCTGGTTTGGGCACTTAGTAGAGCGTCAGGCGATGGCTCTGGAATAGGCAGAGAGGAGAGAAAACCTGCCGCGACCTAAACCCGGGGGAGAAAAGGGGAATCGCCTGAGATCGGCTTTGTAATCCGTTGCTTGAGCTGCATTGTTGCCAAGGGGTCTGTAGGGAGCTGCCTGGCTGGTCTCCTGATGATGGCGGGCAGGTGTCGAGGGCTGGGAACGGGGCTGAACGCGGTTAGACGCGCTCAGAGGGGGGCCCTATCCCGCGACTCCTGCGCAGGCATCCTGCCCATTGGCTTCCACTGGAGATTACATTGGTTTCCGTGGGAGGTTTGGGTGCGCAGGGGACGCAGGATGGAACTTACCTGGTCCTCTACCCCTGGAGCCCTCTTGCGCTGATTCCCTTCGAACACGATCCCTGGTGCAGTGCAGGACCCGGCATAGGGAGAGCGTGACAAAGCTGCGCCAGGACGGGCACAAGCAGTTGTTTGCTGATGATCGGTTACACGTAGGTACCTTTATTCCCAGTGTGGGTCTGGCACTAGCCACGGGCTAAGCAAGCAGCCTAGGCACTATTTGGCCTGTGCAAATTCAATTCGCAGGACATCAGTACCCAGAACACACAGTCCGCCCGCCCACGCTGCCAGTGCATTGTAACATTTCAAACATGGGTCCGAAGCAGGTTTTTTATTCTCCTTCATATGGCCTGATGCTGACAGTCGAGGGGGCTCACTCCTCCGTGGGATTGGCCCCTGGTGTAAAGAGACCCCACAATAGAGCTCACCCAGCTTGCCCCTATGCTGGACTCTCCCGGGGTCTGGGACCGCACAGCGCACCCATCTGCCTGCATTCCGCCGGGGACGATTCTCGCCCTAATCCTCCTCTACGGATTCAGGGAAACTCAGCTCAGTAGCTGGGCAAAGAGAAGACAAACCCCACCTTGCCTGCTAAAGACAGAGACATGGGAAACGCTGTCAAGTCCTGGACTTGGCAAGAAGCAACATGGGGCCAGAACTAGCACCCCAGCGAGTGCCCTAGAGCCCCAGTTTCTTTTTTTCTGTCAATGCTAATCGCTTCGCTGTGCTCAATGCAAGGGGTGCAGAGGAGCAACTAAACACTCCCAAGAGATCTACTGGCCTCCAGTAGAACGCTACAGGTCGCATGAATTCCTGGGGAACTCAAGTGACAGGAGTTAATCTAAAGGGCAGCTACCCAAAGACGTTACACCTGCTGGAGCATTCATATAGGTACAGCTAGACAGCGATGGACGGGGGATTTGCTGTTGAGTTAAAATTTCCCCATCTCAGAGTATTTTCTGATTTCTGCTCATTCCCTCACTTCATCTTTTCCCTTAATTAAGCAAATGAACCTCCACCCTAAATTGCCAGCTTTCGCTCAGAACTCTTTCCTGACAAGAACAGGGCAAACTTTTTTTTTTAGCAAATCCGCCTCCAAGTCAAAGTATATCCCCATGGTCCCCTTTTTAACACTGCAAACTGCTGGTATGGTCTGTGGCCTTCTGCAACCGCCGCCCACAGCCAGAACAAGAGCCCTTTGGGGCAATGTAATATTAAGAAATAATACGCAGACGCAAGAAGGCAAAACAATGTTTTCCTTCCAGGGTTTTGGGAGGGGGGGGAGAGGGTGTTATTACACAGTTTGAATTTTGTTGAGCTCAAAAGGCGATAGTAGATTTTGTCCCGCCGACACGCTTCAGCGATCTCAACTTTCTTGCTACCCTGTCTCTGTTCTTGCCATGGTGCCTCTAGCCCAGTCGGCAGCGTTCGAGCTGTTCACAGCACCTTCTCTGAACTAAACCGAGAGTTTGATGCATGTCGCCCAGTGTAGGGAAACGGAGGCAGGTACCTTTTGGAAGGAGCCTTTTATGGCGACAGCACAGTAGGCACTGCCTAGCTTTGCTTTTTTTTTAAATAGAAAGCTGCCTCCCCTTTTCAGAGAGAACACCCGAAAGGAAAGAAAGGTGTTCTGTCCATCTTGATACTTCTGCGATCGGTGCTGAGGGAAGTCCATTGTCCATCGCACCCGGGCACTGTGGCCAGGCTAAAACCTGCAACAAGGGCTCATTAGAAGGGATTCTTGGGGGAATGTCAGAAAATTCCTAGGCGGGAGACCTAAATCTAAAGGAAATCACAGCAAACCCTATTTAACTGAGCCGCGCAATATGCTGGACCCTGTAGTAGTGATTGATCTAGAATGATTAATCAACATCAATAGCCTTTCTCCATACTCACACATAAGTTCCCAACAGGAGCAGCACTAGAACTGTGCAGATGTATTTGCCAGTTTACGAGCTTTTCTTTTTTTAACAAGAATATGTAACGGCAAAAAGCGAATAGCTTTAGAAAGAGAGGGAGGAAATTAAAATCTTAAATCACAATTGGCTGATTTATCTTGGGGATTAACTATTTTGCTTCAGGAAATAACCACTTTGCATAGGCTGCCATTCCCCACTGGTCAGTCCTGCTCAGGATTTACATCTGTAGAGTAACTACGTTGTATGTGCTATTCAGCTGGATACAGGTGCTGACACCGGCTGAGCCTGAATGTCCCGTCGTGTGTTACCGTGTTACAATAACACACAACAGTCTTTACTCAGCTGCAGCCGGGTGCTAAAATGCGCTTTCTTTACTACTAGCGCCGAACTAAATCCTGAAGTCCTCGTCTCCCAATACCATTTATGCTTTAGGTGACAGTAAAACAGATGGCCTGGCTGCTTAAGCTCACGTTTTCCTTCTTTTGTCAGTCAAGAATCCCAGCCCCTAACTTTGTGGTTTATAGTTTGTGGCCCTGATGTTCTCCCGAGTGTATCACAGCCACAGAGCTGGGGTTGCCAGTTTGATCTCTTCCTATCAAATCAAATGTAGGCAAAGAAATCCCTGTCGGCTACACAGAAGGGGAAGGTTCATGTAGGGGCCTTATCTCAGGAAGTGTATGGAATACAATAGACTGAAATGCTAGGGGCTGGCAGGCTGATGTGAAAAAAATAGGCTGCAGGGCTAAACTTCCCACTTTTATAAGGTAACAAAGGTGGGGCATAGTTTGGACAAAACACTCGGCCCACCTATTCCAGCCAACATAGCTTAGCAGCACAGCTAGAGTTCTGGCTGGAAGGTGGGTTAGCCTTTAAACTGCGGAGCTCAGATTGGAAATCAAAGCCATGGCATTCATACCCATCACCTTCCAGCTCACTCTCGCTCCGCCCCGCCCCACATACAGTAGACACAGAGACATTAGATAGGCACGCAGGCGCACTCATCCACAGGCTTTTTTTTTCTTTTCTTTTTAAACTGGTAATAGTGGGGAGCCTGGCATAATCTACGCAGACTTTTTCCCTTCCCCCTTCAAATACATAGATAATGCCACTTTTTTTTATGCTACCCATGTATAAATGTGAGCGCAGTGAATTAGATTAGAAGCCATTTTAAGGCAAACACAGAAGTGTGGTGTCGAAATAGAATATTTTAGGATGGAGCCTTACATATACTCAGTTATTAATATGATTATTTTTATGATAGTCAAGATTTTAGTGGTGATGAATTTGCGCATATAAGGTGGGGCTCCTCGAGAATTTCTCTCTCTTGCATAGCAGTGGAAAGACCATCTATGTTCTGCTTAATTATTTCAAACTGCTAAAGGACTCTTACCCTTCAATAGACACTGTAGCTCTCATTGTGACACAGACATATGTAGATCTGTTATTCTTTAGACATTTCTTTTGATAACAGCACTGTGATCATCTTGGTTCTCTAATACCACTTGAAAGCAGAGTTTTTATTTGTAGTTTCCTATGTTCAGCGGCTGCAGAAATAACGTGAAATTGCACTTTAAAAAGTCACGCAGAAAGCTAAGAAGATCAGTTGCTAAATGATAGTCAGTTTTAGCACCGTCACATACCTATGTTCTAATTGCTGCAAGAACAGCAATTGAAACGCCAGGTTTGTATTATAAACCTTCCTCTGATCTAAGCTCTTAGTTGACATTTTCCCTTGAGTCATGACTTAGAGTATTATCATGAGTTCCCCTTTCATCACACAAAGGATGTGGTTTTGTTTGCTTTTTTGTTTTGGTTGAGTATCTTGTGCAGTAAAGATTGGACTTAGTTTTATCCATAAATATAAGCTTAGCAAAACATCTTGTTGTACTTTGTTTCTTATAGCTACTTTCTCTTTAATACGATTAGCTGTTTCTGCTGAATAATACCTTAATGATAGGGCTGATGCATTTTTAATGCATGTACTCTTTGTCATTGTCTAAATTAACATTTTGATGATTGTAGATTTTTTTCCCTCTAAAATCTTTAGGGGATTGCTATGTTATGTGCTTACTAACAGCTGAAATATAAGGTCTGATCAGAGAAATATTAGGTGTGGTCATCAAAATTAGTTGGAAAATGTTGTTTAAATGCTCAATAGCATAAAGGCTGCTAGAATTACATTTCCCAACAGCCTTCTTAAAGAAACAACCTTTGAGTTTCAGTAGTAACTCTTGGGATCTGACACACACATTTACATCCAAACTCATAAAAATCAGCTAGGCTTGACTTCCAAGCAACACATCAATAAGAATAAGCTGTGCATTCAAAGGGCCTGATTCTGTGAACATTTGGCTTCAGTGGGACTTCTTGTGGGAACATGATTACTCATGTATACAGCTAAAGCATTCAGGGCCCAATTCTCCCATTCAAGTCAATGGCATAACACCAACTGACTTCATTGTGGGCAGGAGAGGGTCCTAGTTCCAAAGGTTTTTAACAAGATTTACAGCATTTATTTCACTAGTTTTACATGTGAATCCTGACCACTGAAAGTTTAATCTGTTCTGTAAATGTCTTAATCCTGTAAAGACTTGCCTATGAGTAACTTTACACATATGAGCAGTCAATAGGGCTATTGTGTGTCTAAAGTTACTGGTGTGTAATTCTTTGAAGGATTAGGGCTTCTTTTGTAAACATAACTGGCTTTAGGAGTAAGTCCATAAAAACAATCAAATGCTACCCTGATTTAGAAGTCTGATCCTGCAAAGTGCTGAGCCGTTATTGAGAAATGCTGAATCCTTTCAGCTCCCACTGATTTCAACAGGAAGTGAGACCGCTCAACCCTTTGTAGGAATGGGCCGTTAAGTCTGTGTAACCCCATTGGAATTGCCTGGGTGCAAATGAAAGCAGAAGATGTCCCAAGAGAAGATTTGCTTTATTAAATATAAGAGAATTCATTTCTATTTTCCACTGCAGTCAAAGAAACACCCTGCATAGGTCTACTCACAGTAGCTAGCACTGCCCTTGGTAGTAAGTGTTTGCAGGCTCAGGTCCTAAATTAATTGGTGTGCACTTCAATCTGATTTCATGTACTCTTTCCCATAACAAACACCTCTCTGATACAGGTAAATACAATTTGCAGAAGGGCAAATACATGAAAAATGGATCTTGCTGCTATAAGTCTGATACAAACAAAAAAAAGTCTAACTCTTGCAGTCCCGACACGGGCTAAAGTCCCACTGACCTCCTCAAGGACTGCAAGATTAGACTGTGATCTATGTTCAATAGCCTCCTCCCACATGCAAATTTGTCAAAAACAAGGGTCATACCACAAGGTACAGCACAATAACTGGATTGCATAAGGTTAGGTAGGTTTTATTTCTTTCTGACCAATCCTGCTTTCTGATGCATCCAAGAGCCTCACTGATTTCAAAGGACATTTGGGGTTCACATAAAATGTAGGAACGGGCACTAACCATTCTGATTTTATGCTCAAGTTATTTATATAATAATTAATTGCACTTCACCCACCTAGGTGACTGCCAAGATTCAGAGAATTTTCTTCAAGAAACACACATGATCTGTCATCTATCCCTCTGCACCTTTAATTGTGCTTCATGAGGACTAAACAAACTGGCCTTTTCCTTTAGATTTAAATCTCACATTATTGTATAGCTATACAGTTGGAATTTTATGTTTTATAAGCATTGTATATAATTATAAAATGAAGAACAGGAGTACTTGTGGCACCTTAGAGACTAACAAATTTATTAGAGCATAAGCTTTCGTGGACTACAGCCCACTTCTTCGGATGCATATTTATATTATAATTATAAAATGGGCTTTTGTATCACTTTTTAAAAATGTAACATTTTATTATAAAGCAAAAAGAAGAGATTTATTACATTTAGCTATTATATTATCCACTAACATTTTGTTGAAACCATAACCATAACACCAATTACAAATCATCACAAAATGTTACAGGATTCAACCTGTATCCCCTGAAACATTTAAATATGGAAACATTTATTAGAGAATCTCCCCAGAACCTTACATTCCTTAAATATTTATGATTTAGAAACTAAAGTTATTCAAAACTCAAATGTCTCATCGGTCTATTATGCATTTTATCATATAACTAGCATCCATAGATATGAAATGAAACAATATGAAACAGCGGGCCCTAGAGAAATTAGGGTAATAGGTGGAAAATAACAAAAGGACTCAGATAGGAAAAAAATCAGAGCTCATACCAACGCTGGAGAAATAGCCTGAAACACACGTATTCAAAGGGGCGAGAATCCTGGAGAAGTGTAAAGTTGTAAGAGGCCTAGAGGTGATAGTGGAGAGTAAATTAGACATTACTTTGCAAAATGATATGGCAGGAAAAACCACTAATGGCATTTGGGGCTGAATGTGCAGAGATATTGTGTCATAAAACAGAGAGGAAAAATCATGCAACAGCTGTGTGTGTGATCTCACTTGGATTATTACATTCAGTCTGGGGATTATATTTCCAAAAATATAGTGACCAGTTGGTGGCAGATGAGAGAACAGAAAAAAATAATCCAAGGGGTGGACGGATTGATTTATTAGTAAAAAGTAAGAGAGCCAAAGGTATAAATGGAAGTAATAAATAACCAAGATTTCAATTCTAGAAGGGAGAGAGCCTTTGTAGGGTGGTGCATGAGGGCATGTCTGGGACACATGGGATGAAATTAAGAAAGGTAAAATTCCAGCTGGATTTCAAGAAAAGCTTCCTTTAAGTGGGCCCAATACTGCTCCGATTTTAGCCAGTTGGAGACTATAGAAAGCAGTGAAATAGCCTCCAAGGGGAAGCCTCTTGACTTGGGAAATTTAAAACTAGATTGGCCAAACTACTAGAAAAGGTACTGCAGGGAACAATCATCCTGCATTGTCAGGGAGATTGAATTTTGGAGGTCTTTCCCATCTCTAAGTTCTGTGATATGATTCTATGAAATTGAAATGACCCTGGTATTTCTCTGATATTTTGTGCCATTAGAAAGAAGTAGGGCCATTACTGTCTTTTTAAAGTTTCCAAGTAACTCTCTCGAAGTGAATATATTTCAGATGCACTGTAGAAAATCGTGTCCACCTTAATCTCTTATCTGTTTCAAAGTCAGTTGTCACCATAATATTGTTCTGTATTAGTTTATTTGAATTTATATGTAATGTATATCCCTTTCAAATGATTAAACATTAGGTATGAAATCAATGCTGAAATACTCTAGCTGAATTTCCTTAAATATTAAAAATGCTGATTCATAACCTTTGTTTGTAATATTAACAGTTCTCTTGATAAGATAGGAAAATACCACAAAATTCATTAATCTCTGGAGTTCAAACCAGTCTTTTAAATAACTGAAAATCAATGGCAAAATGATTGCTGTGGGATTGGTCTTCTTTAATGGGAGATACAGTAATATCCTGAACTAGAACTGAACATTATTTAATTGTACAGTCTGTAACCAAAAAGAAGCATCTCGTTGCATCTTATATGAACATTTACATAGCAAATGTAGATCTCATATGACTCATATCACATTATCAAATGGCAATGTCTTTGTTAGGATTCACATTATCTTACCAAGAAGTTACTGGTTGATGGAAAATTCATATTTTAAAAGTGCACCACTGTCATTATTCATTATAGATTTTTTTGAAAAGACAAATGGCAACAGATATGAGCCATGAGACTTGATTCATTAATACATTACACTCTTTGGAAACAAAAATTTTAATAGTTATACTTTAAAAGGTAATTCATACGGTTGTTCTAAGCACATGACCTCTTCAGCCATGATGTAGAACAACCTTTCCTTAAAATCTATAATTATACAGTTCAGCAGCTGCCATTTTATTGAGATAACTGTTTTGTCTCCCTGCTATAGTAGTTAAAGGTGACCTGCAAAGGAAAAAAAATGTGCATGTGCCTTTTCTCCCCTCTTTTGTGATGTATACAAAAGGCCTATTATCAATTTGTATTTTGCTTTAGAAATGTCAGGAGCATTAAATTCCCTGTTTTTCCTAGAGGACTTGGGGAAATACTAGGGAAATGTAGTGAGAGCTTTGTCAGACATCAATTGAAGAAGCAGAGATTTTTTTAATCATTAAGAACAAGAGCTTTTCTCCCACATTTGTCAAAATCTAAGTTAAATAGGGATTAATAAAACAAATGAAAAACAAAAGTTTTTTTACATAGATTGACTAAAAATCATTTTCCCTCTCAACTGCTCATGTTTCAATTTCTTGTCTCTCGTGATGTCATAAAACACTAGGTCTTCAGTCATTCATACAGTTCCTCTGTAAAACCTGGATATACAAACCCTGGTATTTCTAAGGTTGACACAAGAGAAAAACAACATTCAGGTCTCCTTTGTGTATCATAAAGAGTATGGGCAAAGGCCACAAACAAAACTTTGTTTTTTTGCCTCCCGGGCTATTCCAGATCAAATTCGATCCTGCTTCCTTTATATTTCCGTTAAACACACATTGAATCAAGAAGACTATAAGCATGAGTAAAGTGAGCAGCATGAGTGGCTAAATGTTTAGATAGACATGAAGATTAAATTGCTACTTTCAAGGAGACCTGTAAAAAATAAACAAAAAAAATTGCTTGAGCTTTTGGACTTTAACTATTACCACATTTAATTATATTTAGGATATTTCACATATTTATTTATTGCAAAACATAAATATTGGCTCAGCATAATAGCTTTGCTTTTTTCCTATTAAAAGCTCTCTTCTGAGATTAATTCCAGAGCTAGCGATTAGGTCAGAATTTTCTTTCATAGAAGTCAGCAGCTCATGCTGACAAGGCTTGGCCTTCTTAGTGATGGGCCGTTTGCTGCTCAGAAGTGTGAGGAATGGCTTTCTAAAATATTGACGGCTGGCTTTGTATTACACAATTCAGTATCAAACTTGTAGCTGACCAAATAGAACTTAACTTGCAAGTATCAATGTACTACAGCAACAGCAGTGAGGGGCCAAGAGGTTAGAACCATATTCCATCCTCTAGGAATTTTTATTTTTAAATAAGTGGCCAGACTATCTGTTAGTGTAAATCCGTGCAGCTCTCCTGAAGTCAAAGGAGCTATGCCATTTATACCAGGCTAGGATCTGGCCTAGAGACTTTAAAAGGCATTGCAAAATTAGAGCAAAAGCATTGGATTTCTATTATAATTTATTTAAAAAAATTATATGTGCTTTTTACTCCCATAGATCCTTGACATGTCAATGTAGCTGCAATGGCTGCATACCATTTAACAAGAAACTAGAGTGCAAAACATTCATTCCCCATGTGGTTTGACAGAAATGTGCACAGATTTCAAATAAAGGCCTGGATGCATCCTTTCAACCATAAAAGGAATGCAGGCAAAACTCCCATCCAACCCAATGCATTATGCATCAATAATGTGAGACAACATCTATCTACATACTGAACACTGGAAATGCTTGAGTTCATACATAGCTATGTTAGGGAACCCTACCTGTACCTGTATCCATATCTTCTATTCTTAGAACTATGGCAAATATTCAGGCAATGGGGAAAAGGGACACACTATAAAGCTTAACATGCCAAGGAAAATCAGCTACAGTGCTCAAAAGACGGATCTATGATGAAGAACATCAATACATGCTACCTATTAGGACACTGATATTCTGAAGGGGGAATCCAACCAAATAAATATGGGTTTTCAGGAAAAAAATACTAGTACTCAATAAGAGACCTGCTGAACCTAAATAGGCGGTGAAATTTTCATTGCATTTGCCAAAAAAAAAAAAAAATGTGTTCAAGAAGGATCATAAACAGTCTGATGTTCACCAAAATCTATTGTCTAATACACTGGAGACTTTGATCAGTAACATTTAATTTT